GAAATATTAAACTCATAAATAAATAAAGTTAAATGAAATCAAGAGACACAAGTAGGGGTGTTCGCGGTCTAGATTATATCAGTTTTGAAGCAAAAATTATCTGATTCAATCCCTTCAGTTTGATCATTTAATCATGCATTCGTTTTTTTTTAAATCCGATCTGATCCAATCCAATCCAATTTAATTCGGTTTGGTTTGTATCGATCTTCGATTTTTTGAAAAACCTAAAATTTCAGTCCTACAAGTCACTAGCTATATCAAAATAAAGTCATATAAAGTTACAAACTACTGGAAAATTCAAGTCTTCAAACTATAACAAGTCTTAAAACTTATGAAGAGTAATTTAGATTAATATACAATAAAAAAACTAAAACAAGATAGTTTGCTATCAATAATATCCAAAATCCAAGTCTACAAAACAATAAGATTTCAAGCACTATCTTTCAAAAATAATAAATACATAATATATTAGATCAGATTGAATTAGATTGATTTTTACCAATCAAAGCGAAAATCGATCAAATTCAATTAAAATATGTGATTTTTTTTTCGATTAATTTAATTACCGATTTTTCAGTTCGGTCACCGCAATTTGAATCGGTTGATGAATACTCTAAACACAAGATACTTCTTACAAGATAACGTTTCCTTTTGTAAATTATGAAGGCACATGCTCCCCGATCAAATATGAAGAACATAATATAGTCTATCGAACATAGGAAGAGCTTTCTTATATGTCATTGGATTTTATTTTATTTTTTTCTATTTTCTTCCTATGTTATTTACTATAATCTAAGAATTTTCATCTCTAATTTTAACAAAATACCAAAAATAAGGTTAATATGTCACAAGAGAGTGGTATACTTTTATCTCCATGAATACTCTCACAAATTTTCATCCATTTCTCGAGCTCCATTAAAAGAATTCTGTCAGAGTCATAAACTTATTAAAAAAAACAGGTTAAGTAAAGAATGCTTTATTTGAGGGAAATGTAATTTGAGGGGAAAATATTTAAATAAATAGAAAAAAAGTTTAAATATCCTCATGTGCTATTGCTTTGATTCACTTATATCGGCTTTTTGACCTTTTTGCCCCTCATTAATTAATTAATAACCAATTTGCCCCTGATCAAGAACTATCCACCAACCTGCCCCCTGTTAGTCGACTACCTTGCTGTTTTAGTCGAGCAAATGGTCAATCTTCAGAAAGTGGACTACCGCAAATTTAGTCAACTAAAAAATCATCTTAATCGACTACATTTTTGGGATATTTAATCGACTAAGTAACGATATTTAGTCGACTAAATGTCGACTGAAACCCTATATTTTCCATGTTTTCGGTCTCATTTCGATTGTTGTTGTTGTGTAAACCTAAATAGCTCCCTTTGTTCATGTGTAATCCTCTCAATCCGATTGTATTTCATCCCACCATCTCTACAGACCTAATATTGTGAAATCATTGTCTCTGCCCAATTCCAAACCCCAAAATTCGAACCAAAACCCCCAATTTCAGAACCCAAGTCCCAATTTCGTGAGGAAGATGAGCACAAGTCCAAACATGTATGTGACAATGATCTACTATGATGGAAAGCATTATGAAGGCCCCAATGGTGTTCAATTTGAAGGAAAAACGAAAATGTTGAAAATCAAACGGGGCACTACATACAATGAGTTAAAGGAGAGAATTCAGCAAAAATTGGGTCTGCAAGGCAGCCAATGCGTTTAACGGATGATTGCCAGGGTAGAGACAACAGTTGGTAAGGATGCTATTTACTACATTGGTAACGATATATGTGATGATGAAGATGTCGAATGTGTCATAGATGCAATTGTTGACCGAAAATTTCAAAATTTTATTAAGATATATGTTGAATTAGATTGTGGTCAATCTTCATCTGCACCCATGCATACAAGAAGTGAACCGTATTTTGGTCATGAAGAAAGAGTAGTCGATTTATCTGCACCTGCACATGTCATAAGTCAGATAACACTGCGGGAAATAGATGAGGATGAACAGGATGCCGATATGGACAGCGATGAGGACGGTGAACCTGAGAGTGTTATTCTGCTAGGTGACACGTCAGATACTGACGTAGAGGGTGATTTCGACGCTGACACAAGCTCACCATCCCCAGGTTCGCAGGTTACGAGACCACTTCGTGTTGACCCTGTTAGCAGTGGTAAGATTTGTTTTTTAAAGATTTAATTTAGCAATTATTTTTTTTGTTATGAATGGTATTGACGGTGGCATTATAATGCATCCGTAGGTTCTGAGGTCGAGCCATTTTGGAATGAAAGCTCACATTATACCTTCATTAATTGGGCCCACCCTAATGATGAGACGGAGATATTGTATGGTGACGATGATGATCACGGTGGCTGGCAATTAGGGGATCCTTTATATTTGTATCAGGAGTTTCGTAGCAAATCTGAAATGCAACATGCAGTCAAATTATATTGTATGAAGGCTCACCGTACTGCCGTTGTGGCAAAAAGTGATGACCATAGATTTGTGATGAAGTGTCGACACCATAATGATGGATGTCCCTGGTATGTGAGGGCATTGTTGCCGAAGAATGGAAATACTTGGGTGGTTAGTAAATGGGTTAAAGAACACACCTGCCTAAACCAAGGTCTTACCCGGGATCATAGACAGTTGGATTCTGATGTGATATGTGCAACCATTATCAGTATGTATTATTCGATATATCTAACTTCCTAAGGTATGTTTACGTTAATCAGTTTGTATTCTGACTGTTGGTCGGTGTTTTTTTTTATATAGGTATGTTAAAAGAAGATCCATCATTAAAGCCAGTTCTGCGGCTCGTCATTTGTTTAGGGTACCTACAATGAAACATGTCAGCATTTAACTATATGAAACATGTCATGATGGTAATGAAAACTTGCAACATAAGGGTTGTAAACCAAAAGCAAACTTTTGCCACATACAAACTTTTCAAACAAAAAAATTCACACAATGCAAAAAAATAAACCTTAGTAGATTAGGGTTACAAAACCTACAACAAACGCTTTGATTAGAGTTCACAAATTCGGACAGCAAACAAATAAAAAAATTCCTAAACCTAAAACATAATGCAAGTTAAGAAACCTTACCTATCCTTCAGATTTCACGATTTGGACCGTATTTTGGGCCAATCCACACGCCTAAGGGAAGGGTTTGGGGCGTTCTTCAGCTGCTCCTGCGGATTTGGGGTTTGGGCCGCCTCCTTAGTCGATTAGGTCATCCTACTCCCCCTCTGCCGAATGGGGGGTTTTTTTAAAAAACAAATCCGTCGATATTTAGTCGACTAAATATCGTTACTTAGTCGACTAAATATCCCAAAAATGTAGTCGATTAAGATGATTTTTTAGTCGACTAAATTTGCGGTAGTCCACTTTCTGAAGATTGACCATTTGCTCGACTAAAACAGCAAGGTAGTCGACTAAAAGGGGGCAGGTTGGTGGATAGTTCTTGATCAGGGGCAAATTGGTTATTAATTAATTAATGAGGGGCAAAAGGGTCAAAAAGTCCACTTATATCCTTATATTTTTTTGATCACTTAACTATCTGTGATTGTTTCTATCAACTCCTTTCTTAACATGGTTAGAAATTTAATTAAATATACCTACTTTACCTTTCTTAGAAGAAGAAAATAAAGTGATAAAAATAAAGAAAAATAATATCAAATGTTATGAAAACATAGAATATTTAATAAAACACTAAAAGAAAATAAAAATAAAAAAGTAGAACAAAAAAAATCAGAGTTATGAATTTTTAATATGTTTGGTTTTATTTTTATTTTTAATCCTTGATCTATTTTATTTTTTTATTTAGATAAATTTTGTCTTTTTTATATTTATATTTTATTCTCTCTCATTTTTTAATTTATTCTACAAAATTCTTTAGTAGATGGGGTGGCACAAGCTAAAAACGAAGAAGAGAAAAATCAGAATAAAGTAGATCAAAAGTGAAAATAATAATAGAAAAAGACCAAATATTTCTAAATAACAAAGAATACAATAGATCAAAAACAAAAAATAAAATAAAATAAAAATAAAATAAAAATAAAACCAAATATATTGAAAACTCATAATTGTGATTTCCTTTTGTTTCATTTCTTTTTTATTTTACTTTTTGTCTTCATTATTTTTCTTCTTCTTTTGGTCTCTTTATTTTTAATTTTAGTTTTTTTAGTCAGGGTTGCGATTTTAATATATTTGACCTTATTTTCCCTTATATTTTATTCTTTATTTTTTATTTAAATACATTTGATTTTTTTTTCTTTCCGTCTTTTATTAAATGTTCTAATTTTTTATAATATTTGGTCTTATTTTTCTTTTCTTTTTTTATCACTCTATTTTTCTTTTAAAAATAATAAAATAGATATACTTAGTTGTTAAGTTCTTAAAAATGTTAAGCAGGGATATGTATAAAAAAAGGGGTTTGCATTCGTCATTTAACATGACACAAAAAAGTTTCATATATAAACAATATTTTGTGGGGTTCACACTTTTTGAAGCAAAAAAAAAAAAACAAACAAACTACGGCACGCAAAATGAATCTCTATAACAATATGCAATCATTTTTTTTACAACATAAATTTTATAAAACCCTGAAAAAAATCACGGGAAGTTAATTTTTTAAAGAAAAAGTGTAGGAGTGTAAGTTTTTTTTTTTTTTTTTCAACTTTTCCCAAATAAATAAAGGAATTTTTTTTTATCTTTTTAAATGATATAAGTTATATCATTTTACTCTTACAAAGAGTTAGAATCTTCATTTTTATTATTTTTTTCACTCTCTCCTCATGAGTTATTTATTTTTCTCACTTAAAATAATACATCTTTAATGAAAAACCTTTTTTCCATAAATAAAATTTTGCTCAGATCTTACCAAAAAAAAATAATTTATTTTTGCTCAGATCAAACCAGAGATGTGCTAGCAGGCTGCCAGGTGGACGAGTGTCCATCTAATTGCTTCTCAATTCTCATCTATTACCTTATCGCCTTGCTTTCTTTTTCATTTTCATGTTTTAGGGTTTTGATTGCATCTAATCCAATCCAATCCAACATTTGAAGTTGAAGACGACGCTCACCGTGGGGAATTGCATTGCATGAACGGTTCTTGGTTAGGGTTTGGAATCGGTGGTGCAAAGTGAGGAGAAGATTGGTCCCTCCGAAACATGTCTGCCATAGTGTGTGGGAAGAGATCAGCCCTATTCGAAGACCTTCCATCATCATCTTCTCCACCCCTTTCCAAGAGGATCCGTTGTTCCTCTTCTTCTCCTCATCGTTTTTCCCTCATCCACCACCTCACCGCCTTTTTCCCTGACATGGATAATCAGGTTCTTTTTTTTTTTTTTTTTTTTTTTTTTTTCTAGTTTGGTTTCATTTTTATTTTATTTTTGGCCTTTTTGGGGTCCCCCAAAGAAAAAGAGATGGAATACTTACATGGGTTTTAAAAAAAATTCAATCTTGTTTATTCATGGACTTCAAGTTGATATTTTGAAAGAATAGGTAACTATCTGCTGCTGCTGTTGATTCCTTAATCAATTATATGACTAGTTGGTTGCTGACCAATTACGTAATTTCAATGGCAGCTTCTGGAGAAAACTCTTGAAGAATGTGGCAATGATCTCGATTCTGCTCTCAGAAGCTTAAATGAGCTTCGGTTAGGAGGATCTGTTCAGAAGTCACTTGATTCTGCTGACATTGGATCTGATGCAGCTGTTGATCTTAATGCTCAACTTCATCCAGAAGGTATGCATGCGAAGCGATATTGTGTTAAAGTTAGTTGAAGTCAGACTCGAGATTATTCAATGCTTGCAGTGCAACAGATGCTTGATGAGCATTAGTTTCTTTGTGTTTTAGAATTTACATTGCCCCAATTGTTATTTTTTAAAATTAATACATGGGTTCTGAATCTTTGTTGGTGTTTTTATATGCTAAATGAAGTCTTAATCCACACCTGTTTGCATTTTTTGAAGAATTATAAAAAATCCAAATTCCAATGGACAAGACAATATGTGGGTTCTAAGTTTTTGTTGTTTTTATAGCTACTTCAAATCATAACCTTTATCCTTTGAAAAAGATTTTTAAAAGACCCAAAATTGTACAAGACATTTTGAACAAGTTGTCAGTTAATTACATATTATACTTGTTACATTCAAAGCCTGCTATCTTAGTGGTGTCACTGGGCATTTCTGGCTGGATGGGATTTGTTGAATGGATGAAATGCCCAAGTTTTCTAGGACATGTGTTTTCTTTAAAGCAGATTTTGCCTATTGAGAGTAATATTAATCATTGGTATGGTTCTAGAGATGTGAAGTTAATATTTAACACACTTTACCGCTTTGAACTCGTTTTCCTATCTTCTTATGCGATGGTTGAATGCCTGTGCCTTGGTTCATGCTAACATGCTCATAAGAAATATGGGATTTTTATTAGTTGATAGTTTTGAAGAGAAAACTATAGTGTGAGAAGGGGAAAAGAGATTTTTCTTAAAGTTAATGCTTTTCCCTTCTTTTCATGCATTTTGCAGCGAAGCAATTTTTTTATATTATAGAAATATACCATGATAAAGGGGGCGAACCGGAGCAGTGGTAAAGCTGTTCTTTCATGACCAAAAGGTCATGGGTTCAAATCCAGGAAACAGCCTCTTTGCAATTATGCAAGGGTAAGGTTACGTACAAGGATTATCTCCTCTCCACACTCGCTAGTCGGGTTTAATGGGGAGTGATTTTTTTTTTAGAAATATACCATGATGCCGAAAGCGCATAGAAAAGATGGCTAAACAAAAAGTTAGGATTTCACGAAAGAGTAACCCTCTGGTTCTTAATTTCTAGTAACAAAATAACAAAATTCAACTCCTAAAATAAGGGTCATAAGCACTCTTTTATAGACTAATAACAAATTGATCCAAAATTCAAAAATCTTAAAAATAATAGAACTTCCTAAAATAAATGTAACATTAATTAACCTCTAAAAATAAATAAATATTTATAATTAAATCATTCAAAACACGTCCCAAATCTTAAATCTTAAATAATGCCAAATGTGTTGCGTTCCTTTTATTGCCAAACAAATCACAATTATATCCGCTGCTTCATTTGGACTGGGATTCGATTGTAATTCGTTATATTTCAAATCACTGTCTCTTTCAATGATTAGGCCATACTTATTGGGCCACAACTCTAGTTGACTACGAGCTTCTTGAAACAATGGTTGGGCCATGTACAATGGGTCAAGTAAGTGCATCAATAAGGGACTTTATTTTCAGTTCTTTGCGTAATAAAATATTAGAAGTTTTTTGGTCTCTTATGTTCCATGTTACTTTATATTCAATCAAATTTGGAAATAATGTATGGTGATATATTGTAGTTACTATTATATTAGGCAGGTTTAGCTACTTAGAACCTTGATTTTATTTGTCATCCCATGATTCATAATGAACTTTTGTCATCCCATGATTCGTAAAGAACTGGTTATTTTGTTGTAGGTGAAGGCAAATGCGATGCGGAAGTTGCAGCTTCTGATGATCCAGTAGCTGGACAAAATTATCCTATCAATGGTGCTGAATGGGTAGAGCTTTTTGTTAAAGAAATGATGAATTCTTCAAACATGGATGATGCCAAAGCTCGAGCTTCAAGAGTGCTAGAGGTTCTGGAGAAATCCATTTGTGAGCGAGCAAGCGCAGAAACAGAAATGAATTTCCACCAGGTAACTTAATACACACACATATATATAATACTGTGAATTGTCATTGGGTGTAATGTATATATTGTTTGGTTTACTATAGGAAAATATGATGCTAAAGGAACAAGTGGAGGCCCTTATTCAAGAAAATATTATTTTGAAGCGAGCTGTATGTATTCAGAATGAACGACTGAAAGAGTCCGAAGATAGGAAAGAAGAGTCAAAGCATCTCAAGCAATTAGTATCACAGTATCAGGAACGGCTAAGAACTTTAGAGGTCAACAATTATGCGTTGACAATGCACCTAAAGCAGGCTGAACAGAGCAGTTCCATCCCTGGGCGTTTTCATCCAGATGTTTTCTAGGCACCCACCTCCTAACAACAACGTAATCAGTCTTAGCTGTTTGTTTCTGTAGTTTAAATAATCATGAAGAAGGAACGAGACAATGAATTTTGGAAACACAACACGATTATTCAGCTGAATGTATGGTTGTCTGTACCCTTATTTTTACTCCACCTTTTAATTAATGGTGGATAGTGAAGATTTTTTACATCATTTAGATTTTTGGTGATGATATAAATCCGCCTTTTCCTCAGAATTAAAATTTAGTATCCTGCTTTTCCATTTTTTTTTATTGGTAGAACCTACTTTTCCTCTTACATCTATCTACCTTCGGTAGACCTACTAATATCAACAATTCATTTAAGGATTATTATTCATTGCAAGTAACTTGTTGAATAATATATGTTGTAAAAATTAAATATCTATAAAGAGTATCCTAAAAAAGTAAAAGTTTTTTATAAGTTAGGAAAAAAATATAAGGTCTCAAACGAGGTGTGGTTGGAGGCTTCTATTTTTTATTTTATTTTTAAATTAATCAATTTTCATATACGCACTTAAGGCTTTAAATCATAAATAATATAAATTTTTTTAAGAAGGTTATACTTACAATATTTTTTTTTTTACAACTTCTTACAATTATATTTTAACACCGTTGATTTTCGTCAGTCAACGATTATGATTTTCGTAAATTAAACTCATTAATTAATTATTAATTCACAATAAATGATAACCTTTGATTAACGGAAATCAACGGTGTTAAGATATGATTATAAGAGGTTGTAAAAAAAAATTGTAAATATAACTTTTTTTAAAAAAAATTACATAAATTATTAATATTATTTAAATAAAACTAAAATATCCACTGTAAGATAAAGCCCAGTGCTAGTAGTCCATGGGTGTAGGCGTTATACAGAAGTCTACGGGGAATCTTGTTTGTTAAGCAAGCAAAGCCTACTAATAAAGTCAAATAAATTACAATGCTTCATGTCAACAAAAGGATAAAAGAAAATATTATAGGGGACCATGTAAAAAGTAACCATTACTCTTTCCGACTATACATTAATACATCATGCACTTCTGCTTTTCTAGACACACTTTCAAGCAATGTTATAAAAATCCGAACGATTCGGGTTGATTCGGAAATTGGTGAACCGGTTATGTAATCGGTCTGATTTTAATATTGAATCGGCCATGTTACAGAACCGGTGTGACCTGATGCGACTCGGCTAATTTTCGTAAAAATCGGTGACCTAGTCGGTTCAACCGGTAACTCGCCCGATCTATAAAAAAAATTAATTTATTTTCATAAATTAATGTCTTCTTTTTTTACTCTCAAACACATTTTGAAATATTTGAGTGATTTGTAACTTATTAACTTACATAAATTATGTACCTATAACATTAATATTATCTTGATTATGCAATATGCAGGGAATTTTCATTTGATTTATAGTTAGAGATGTCGTTTACTGAACCTGAAATCCTAGTATCACAAATATTATATGTTTGATTAATCTTTTGTTGAACAATGATGTGTAATTTATTATTTTTATTTTAAAATATTTGAAACTGATATATTTTTTACAAGTATTTAAGTATATGTATAGTTTTTTTAATATAAATTATAGATTTATATATACTTATCGGATTATGCGGTTGAACCAGTGACCCACTGGTTAAACCAGTAACTCAGTGATCCAGTACCTCGACCATGTCAACTAATAACATTAGTTTGAAGAACTAAAAAAAAGGAACAAGCAAGCCCACCAACAGTGAAGTGTACGATTGAATTATAGTTTATAAACTTAAAAGTGTTAAAAATAAATTTGTAATAAAGGGATTTATCACTTATGTTTAGCAAACGTGATTTTAGTATAATAAATGTTGTTTTCATAATGTTAATCAGAATTATTTTTGGACCTATAACAATAAAAAATAATGAGTTTATTTTTAAAAATAATTCAAATATTTTTAAATTTGTCGTGTGTATATATATATATATATATATATATATATATATATATATATTATATAAGAATCAATAATAGGAAAAATAATGTTAAAAAACTATTCAATTATTAAATTTATAATAATTAAATTTATTTCTAACCCAGAATTTTGGCAAGAATTGTAGAGTATGAGATCATTGGGTCCTCAGTAACCGTAAGTTTGTGAATTCAGAAGCAACTCAGTCTTTGGACCGAAAGCAAGTTTGGGACAAGAATTGAGTTTGAAATCGTACTTGGACATATAATTAAACAAGATTCTTTGTACCAAAAAAAAAAAAAACATTCTTCATGGTCAATATCTCATTTAATGCCAAAAAAAACATGTTTGTGTGGTAAGAATGCGCACCCAAACACACACATATATACACACACACACGAGGTATGATCTTTTGATATCGGAGCCAAATTTAAAATTTGATATTTCATCTGAGAGCCATTAGATCATCGATTCTTTGAACTGGTTCAAAGATCAAATTATATTTTTAAAATTGGTTCAATTTATTCAAACTAAATAAATTTTCAGATTCGGTTCCACTCGGCATGTAAACCGAACCGTGCACCTCTAATTAAGTCTATTATTTGAATTGAAACAAACATTCTTTTACAATTTACTTTCCCAATTTCATATAGAATAGAAAACAACATTGGAAATTCAAGACTTCACATATAGTAGTTTGAGCTGTAGAGCTCAATTGTAGGCTGAATGATATATATGGTTATTGGTACTAATAGTATCCACACACACAAAATAAAGAAAACCAATCTCTTGAAAAGGAAAGAAAGAAAAGAATAATGGGTCATAGCCATAGCCATAGGTTACAGAAACTTGGAAATTAATCAGGAATTCACACATACTACACCAAAGCACTATTTCATTTCATGTACATACACACACAATTTCAGTTGCGAGTGTTTTGAGTTAATATCATAGCGGATATGGATAGAAAGAAACGAAGAATACAGAGAAAGACTGGGAGTGGTAGTGGCAGAGCATGTGATGGACTATGCAACAAAGACAAGCTTTCCTCCGTTAATCATCATTGTCTTGAACTCGTTAAAATTGACCATACCATCTCCATCCATATCAACCTTCCTAATCATCTCTTTGCACTCTTCAACCTTCTTCCCTTCCCTTAATCCTAATGAAGTAAGCACCAAAGCTAGCTCTTCCACTGATATAAGCCCATCTTTATCTTTGTCAAACACATCAAAAGCCTCCTTTAAATTTACCTCTTCACCTTCCTTGCCAATACCCTCTTTCTCCTCTTCTTCATTCCCTCCCATAGACTCACTAGTCAACAAACAAAACTCATCAAAATCAATCAACCCATCTCCGTTGGAATCAAACTTTACAACAATATCATCAATCTCTCTATCTGTCATGAAGATTCTGATGTTCCTCAGTGACTCCCTCAGCTCATGCCTTGTTATGAATCCATCATCATTCTTGTCGAAAGTGGAGAACACCTTTTTAAGATCATCTTTCCTGTAGCCATCCCTCTCAACCTTGGTCATTTGTGAAGAAGATGAGGCAACAGCGAAGTTGGTTTTGCAAGCATTGTTAGGGAAGAATATTTGCAGCCACAAGCGAATCTTGTTGGTGGGTATGTAGTAGAACACATTTATGAGGCCTGCAATGAACAGAACGGCTAGAAACAGTGCAGTTAGAACCATGTTTTGGCCAAACTAGATATCACAAACAACAAGGGTAGGGATAAGATAAGGAAGAAGAGGAACAAATTAATAACTAGTTAGAACATAGGAGCTAGGAGTATACGAGTCCTTGTCTGCTTTTGAGGTTTTTATTGTTGTTAAAAAAAAGATATTATTTTTTATGCACGAGACAAATTATCTCATGTAACATATAAAAAATTACGTGTGATCTACTAAAAACAAAAGAGAGAAATAAAATAAATGATTTTCATCCATTTTTTTATGTATTAAATGAGACATATTATCTTATAACACATGAGAAACGATATTCCCTAAAAAAAATTCCAAGTGTAAAAGAAGTTACGCGTGTTTGGTACTTTGGTGGTGGTGGTGCTCTTTTTGATCCCACAAACCGCGTGAACTGTAATATATATATATCTATGTATTAAAGTAGGAAAGTTGAGAACATTTTGAGGACAAATCTAAGTGATATTCTTCACAAATCACAAGCTTAATTTATGGTCTTTCTCGTTAATTTTTTCATTAAGCTATGAGCTATCTATCTAGTGGTGAGTGTAATAAGATGTGTGAAGAAACAGTATACCACAAATGATGTCCATTTCCCCCATCAATCATGTTCTATAGGATAAAAGAATCCTTTTAATGTGCTCTTTAAGCATCCCCACATAACTTTAGTCATGGTTCGACAACACATACCTTTTTTCCACCGGGAATTTCCAAGAGCTTACATTTTCTTTTTCGATGTTAATATTTTTATTTTTTTGATTTAACTAATCCTAATTACTTCTTTTATTCAAGTTAGCTTTTGTCGGTGTTCTTACAAACTTCGACTTTTTGAGCCAGGACTAATTCGGAATGCGGGGCGGGTCAGGAATAAAGATATTTAAACCCTTCCAAATGTGGCATGTAGGGATCGAACTAAGGCCCTTTCATTTCCACTTATTCAATACCAATTGAGCTATCACCATTTGGTAACGTTAATATTTATGAACAAGCGGTATCCTAGCATGTTCCAAAAAAATTACTCTATGGGAACATGTTAATTCGTTCTTATATATACATGTTAATTCATTCTTATATATACATGTTTGGAATGCGGAGCGAGTCAGGAATGAAGATATTTAAACCCTTTCCAAATGTGGCAGGTAGGGATCGAACCAAGGCCCTTTCATTTCCACTTATTCAATACCAATTGAGCTATCACCATTTGGTAACGTCAATATTTATGAACAAGCGGTATCCTAGCATGTTTCGAAAAAAATTACTGTACGGGAACATGTTAATTCGTTCTTATATATACATGTTTGAAATATAATTCATGATTATGTAAAATAACAAGAGACGAGAAGAACATTGAAATAAATCTGTGTATTGAATTAATTCAAAAGAGTACAAATATAAAGAAATACTAATGGATTTAGCCCATACATAACCTAAATCCTAATGAAATAAGGAAATAGATCTTTATAAATAATAAAGATATTCTAATGATATTCTTTCCAACACTTGCCCTCAAGCTGGAGCATATAGATCATAAGCAACAAGGTTGAACAAGAAAAACTAAGAAACATAACATCAAAATAAATAAGTGGGGTTGTAACATCTCTACAACTCACCTAAAGAAAAATAACAAACATAATAAACTAAAATAAAATATTATCTATATCTCGAATACATCCCCTCAAGATGGTGGAACACTTCATCTTGGGAAGAAAAAAAACTAAAACAAAGCTTCACGGAATATAAGTCGGAGAAATCGACAGCAGATCAATTGGAATGACCATTAATTTGAAGAGCTGATAAAGAGACGGTGCTGGAATGGGCATCAGCAGAGGAAGAAAAGACGTCAGCCAAAGAAAGGCTAAGATACACATCAGCCAAGGAACGGCTGGGTAAAAGACAATGTTGCAACCAGAATACTGATGAATCTCCAAATTACTATTTATTAAGGGTCAATACGAGCATGAAATTGATTAAAAGTAATTAAAAGTTATGAGAATTATAATTAAATTATTATTTTATTTTCAATAATATTCTTATAAGTTTTTTTATATTTTGCCGTAAATTTCAGCTCAATAAAGAGATAAATTGGGGAGATCAAGTAGAGTTGCTTTGAATTTCTGAATCATTCAAGATCTTATCAAATCTTCATTTGAATATTTTTAAGGAAAACTTTCCATTAAATAAAAAGGGGAAGATTTGAAGGATTGAATCAAAGATATGATTATACATTATAGTGAAGATTCCATTGAGGATATTATGAAAAATCAAAAGATATGGTTTCATTCCTATAAAAAGGCATCTCTTGGAAACACAAAGGCACAATTTGACAGAGGCAAGCACATTCAGAGGAAGAAGGAGAACACCGGAGTCCAGAGTTGGAGATTTCAGAGAGAGAGAGGAGCTTGAAGGAGACTGAGCAATATTGATCCTTCTTCTTCTTTATGATTTCTTTTTCTTTCTTTGTTTTGTTTAAGCTAGCTATGTCTGGCTAGTTTTCTTAGTAGTTAGGAATATGGATCCGACGTGAATTCTTGTTTTGGTTTAATTCTTTTCATTAATAAACTGTCTCAAATTATTTGTGTTTACCTTGATTTGCATGTTTAAATTCTTGTATGATCTGGCCAATTATATAGGGATAAAGAGGGTTATGATTCACTATAAACATATTGAGATCTTGGTCTAGACAGGGGTAGAACACCAATTCTTGCATGATCTAGACATAGGCTTGTAGGAATTGCAATTTTTTGTAATTCATCGCGCTTAAGGCTAAATCTAAAAGGAATTTCTAAGACATTAGGATTCTGATTAGGTTAAAGGGTTAAAGAACTAAGACATTAGGATTTAACCAATTAATTTCTAGATGATGAAATGTTTGAAATAATTGAGATAAAATATTATTGATTTGTAATTAAACCAATTAAGTGCCTGTTTGGATCCTCTTTTTTTAAGCTAGAAGCTACTTATAAGCATAAGTTAGGCCAAACAGGTTTTAAGAAAAGCTCTTATAATGACAAGCTCTTCTTTTTATATTGAAGAAAAGAGCTGAAAACTAAAAGCTCCTAGGAGGAGCTTTTTTTTAAGCTCTTATATGTTTTTCTTGAACTGTGTGCTTTTTTTAAAATGAAGAGTGATAAAGATGGAGAGAGAGATAATTTTCTTGAAATATGTGCTTTTAAGTAATTTTTAAGCTAAGTTTTTTATGTAATTTCCAAACAGCTTTTAGCTTCTTTTTTTAAGCTCTTTTTTAGCTTTAGCTTATAAGTAACTTCTAGCTTAAAAATAAGAGGATCCAAACAGGCTCTAAGAAGGATCAGAGGAGAAGTAAATCTAACTGCATTTTTATTCTTGATTTTAAAACTCAATTTTTTATCAAATTATCTTTTTGATTTATTTCTTTTACAGTCATTTATATTTGTTTTTTAATTAAATATTGGTTACCTGAGAAATTACTTTTGAATTGTCTAACTTAGATAAAAACGACGAAACTATTGTTTGAAATTAGTCCTCGTGGGAACAATCCTTTTACTTAATCACTTTATTACTTGTACGACCGGTATACTTGCCGTGTTCGCAACAAATACAAGTCGACGGAGCCAGTGTAACTAGAATAATCCGTGGAGTAGGCAACAACAGAAATAAATGCTTCAACTGGAATACAAGTCGGTAGAGCCAGTGTAACTCGAATAATCCGCGGACCAAGCAACAACGGAGATAAATGCTCCCCCTAAATGGGAGGCCCAAATAAAGCCAAATAATGACAAAAATAAATCAAATATAAGCCAAATCAGACTTAAATAACACCACAAATATATGTGAAAATAAAATAAAATAGGTCAAATACAAGCCATAAAAGAAAGTCAAAATAAAAATAATAAATCAACGGAGAAGAAGAAGAAGAATGTATAGCCGGAAGAAACAAGATTTGGCCGGAGAAGAAAAGATGATGCGGCCGGAGGAAAGAGACGCTGCCAGAATAATGACTTGATTTGGTTGCTGGAGAGAGAGAGAGAGAGAGCGGATCTGAGCTTCGCTGAAAAACAAGAACAAATTTGATGAGATGAACATAGGTAGGTGAAGACAAGTCAGATTGTGGACAACAGAGGGAATCCGACAGTGGACCCTTCACCGTGCACAACTCGGCCGCAGCGGCTCCTTCTGCTGAGGCAACGGACGACAGCGGCAGAGACAAGGTGGACTGAGATGACTTTCTCAGATTTTTCAGCGCGACGAAGATGGAGGTCTGGCGAACATATCCAGGAAGACAGAGACGCACGAACAGATGTATGGAGGTCTGACTGGAACGTCGCGCAACCAGGAGGGAGACGACGTGCAAACACTGGCATTATTCTGGTGGGTGATTTCTCTCTACTACAATATTAAAATTATGAAAAAAAATAAGAAAATGCGGACAAAGATTCCTCTTGTTAGCTCTGATACCATGTAAAATAACAATAGACAAGAGGAACATTAGAATAAATCTGTGTGTTGAATTGATTCAGAAGAGTTCAATATATAAAAAAATATTAATAGATTTAGCCCATACCTAACATAAATTCTAACGAAATAAGAAAATAGATCTTTACAACTAATAAAGATATTCTAATCATATTCTTTTCAACAATTCAAGGGCAGAGGTATTCTTTTTTTTTTTTTGATAACATAGGGCAGAGGTATTCTTTACAAGTAAGTTAAGGTACTAGCTTCGTTTTGTTATTAAGAAAGTCATAATTATTTACAAAAAAAAAAAAAAAGAAAGTCATAATTTTTTTCACATTTTTACTATGTTAAATGATTTTAACGTTTAATATCTTACCCAGTTACCACCTTATTTACATATTTAATTGGGTCTAAATTTTTAGGTAAATTTTAGAACTGTATAACGAAACGTTAATTTCTTTATGTCAGTATCTTATTAATTTTTCAGAATTTTTAACACCTGAGGAATTTGATTCACTACCTTACCCAAAGGTGAAGATATTCTTACCCCACGTGAAGTCATCCGTTCCACATCCAAGGATATTTGGTAGTTGAGTGGATTATGGAATATTGTAGCTAAAGTTGTATTTGGATGACAGCACCCAAGTAAACGGAAAAGAAACCGAAATTGAAA